GGCAGCTCTCCCCGGGGGTCCGGCAATAGGAGTCAGCCCCCAGGCAGGGGCAGGGGCTGGGGTCTCCTCTCCAGGCACTGCCAGTCACCCAACTAGCGTCCCTCCGGCTCTCACCACCGCTCGGCATGGGCAGCTTCTGTCCCTTGCACCAACGGGGCACGCAGTGGGTCTTGCCATGGGCAGTGGCAGTGCTGGGCCAGCCACAGCCACATCATCCCTAGCTCCAGGTGTCCCCGCTGTAATGGGGACAAGCAAACCACCATCAAACAACAGCACTGCTCCCAGGCAGGCTGTGGAAGTGTCCAGAGTGGCTCTGGACAGCATCCCTGGAGAGCCAGTCCTGGGAACAGCTGTCCCCATGCAAGAGGGCACTGCAGCCGAGCCACCCATGGGTGCTGCTGGCGCACTGAGAAGTGCCCCCCCAGCACAAGGTGGAGGTCTGTTCCCACCAGTGGCGCGTGTCCCGGCTGCTCAACCAGTGCCAGGGACAAAAGCATCTTCCTCAGTCACTGGCAAATTGACTGATGCCAATGAGTTGGTGCAGCTGGGCGATGCTGTCACTGCAGAGGGGACGCCGGGGACAGCGTGGACCACAGTGCCATCGCTCCCCCAGGACAAGCACAGCACAAGGATGTCATCCCCCAACATCAGCAAGAGCTCTGTTGAGCCACACGCAACCACCATGCTCCCATCCCAGGAGGTCACACCAGGGCTGGATGAGGCCACCTCACCTCCAGCCACAGCAGCCAGCATCTCTCGGGATACAGGCAGCTCTGTGAAGCTGGCAGCAGCCTCAGCCAGCCCTGCCACTGCCCTCCCCGGGGTCCCCCACCCCACAGCCACAGAGGGTGTCAGGATGGTGGCCCCACCGCCTGCAGACCCCCCAAGCACATCCTCAGTAAAGGTTACCTTTTCTTCTGCCACCGTTGGCATCGGCGAGGCTACAGAGCCAGGGACACGTGCCTTATCCAATGCTGACCACAACGCCTTGCAGGACCCCCCTGCACCCCCTGCTCAGATGCCTCCAGACCTTTCACCCCAGCTCCCCGCTGGTGCTGTGCCGGGCACAGGAGAGACGCTTCGCCCCAGCCGCAGCATGGCCCCCGGCACTGCTGGAGATGGGCTGCCTGGAGCCAATGCCGTCACCCACCCCCAGGCCACTGCACTAGCTCCAGGCACACCAGCTATGGCGATGGATGTCATTGCTGCAGAGCACGTCCCCGGTCTGTCATTCCCAGCTCTGGGAAGCACCAGCGCTGAGCTGGTGTCCGTCAGGAGTGAGTCCAGCACCAGAGCCACAGCAGGCACCACTTCCCTGGAGACCAAGGCCAGCTCAGTGGGGCTCAGCATGAGGCTGTCGCCCAGTGCAGCTCCTGATGGCCCTGGTGGTCCCTCTCTGGGGCCCTTTGCACATTCGACGGGGCCTCTGCTCCCCCAGACCCCCTCAGCAGGCCCTGGGGCCACCACAGCAGAGATGGCTGCAGGCGGATCCCCTCCAGCCAGCCCCAGCATGGCCACATCCTTGTCCCTCACGAGTGGCGGTGGAGCAAAGCCAGACGGGGCCCCTCGAGCTGCTGCTGCACCAACATCTTCCCTCGGCGTGTATGGCATCGGGACTGGGCCAGCTGCCCATCCATCCTCCCTCATTAGCAACACTCCAATTAGTGAAGCAGGGATGGGAACAGCATCGTTGGCCAGTGGCAACGCCACCACAATGCTGTGGGACACTGGAGCCACCCTGGCTGTGTCTGATGCATCTCCCTGACACAGCCAGCCTGGTCCCATTGCGGGCTCAGCACCCCCGGGAACTGGTGTCACCCTTGGACCTGCACCAGCCCCACCGCTCTGGACTGGGCTCCAACGTGGGGCAGCTCTGGGGGCAGAGACGTGGTCACCCAGCGCTGCACCAGGTACAGGCACGGCTGTGCCAGGCACCCCAGGGGTACCCAGAGCAGCCAGCGTCCCCGTGGCATCGCGAGCAGGCACCCCCCCTCTCCTGGAAGGCAGTGCCACTGCAGGGATGGCTCTAGGGGTGTCCCCATTCAGCATCCCCCAAGAGACAGCAGCAGGCATGTCCCCACTGTCCCCGGCCACCCCACCGCCAGCAATGGGTGCTTCAGGTGACCTCCGCCACAATGGCAGCGCTGCGGGGCGAGCGGTGGGGACGGCGCCCCTGGAGGTGGGCACAGAGGAGAACCCAGGTGCCAGTGCAGCAGGGCCAGCTCCCAGCCATGCGATCATCACTGCCAGGCTATCACCAGAGCCGCCCGCCCAAGGGACTGATGCTCCCGAAACCAGGCCCCCAGTGGATCTGCGTCTTGTGGCTCCCAGGGGTGGGCGCTCAGCCCCTCCAGCCGTGGCTACCCCCCGCCCCGCACCGGCCCCGGGCAACA